AATAATAATAATAATAATAATAATAATAATAATAATAATAATGAAAACTTTATTGAGTTTTCCCCCCAAATACAATCGTAAATCTCGCTACGTATAGGTAATTTACAACAGACCATTTCACAGATCCCGCGGCTCAACCTCAGCTTCGTCAGCGTGTAATATATTCTTTAGAAATTGCCTACAACCTGTGAAATTTTTAAGTGTTTCAATTGTTCGTTGGTGCGTAAATTCCTTTCATTACTGCGGACTGTAGTCAAATTCTAAAGAATAATTACACGCTGACGAGGCTGAGGTTGAGTAACGGGATCCGTGAAATGGCCTATTGGCTGCTTGAATCGAATACAAAATTTGACAAATGACAAAAAGAAAGAAAAAAAAAAAAAGATATTATATCTGTAACACTATGGAAAAAAAATGAAGACTATTAATATTGCATTAACTAAAGACTCTTCCATTCTTTGTTCCTGCAGCAGAAAATATAATATGATGATCCAAGAGAGTATGAAGTAAGAGAGCACAACCCTGTGCCCCATGAAAGTTTTTTTGAAAATCTATTTTTAGCTTCGCGCGCAAGCCTGAGCTATTTTAGCATGCGATTCCTGATTGGTCAGATTGTAGTGACGTCATGACAAGCTGCTAAGACCATTCTATCAATAGCAGACAGAACGAACGAGAAACAAAGGAAATACAGAGATTTACGAAGCGGAATAAAAGAAATGCACCCACAGCACAAAGTCACACAAGTCAACATAGTATTTGACCATGTATCTAGGGAACTATCATAAAGACCTAAAAACCCAAGTGCAAAATCACGTCACCTCAAGAAACACAGACATATAACAAGAACGTTTAAAGATGATAAGTAAGAAAGAAACCAGATATTTGTTGCTGAAAAGCCAGAAATGGATTCTATCACAGAATGCGGAAATCGTAAAGCAATTTTATCGCTATTAAAAACACTTTTGCAAGAATGAACAATGGAAAAGAGAACTCGCGTAGTCGTTAGAATGAATGACGATAAGATATTACAAAAAACACTGATAGCATCTTAGCCTAGGTTATCTAGCCTGCACTGCATCCGGAATTTTCTGTCGTAAACGTTCGGAGGCACGCAGGCTAAGGTTATCCCGCAAAGTTGTAATGTGTAACTTATCTCACAGATTAAATAAAAATGTCCACAATAATAATAATAATAATAA